CTCCCTCCCTCAGCACCGTATTTGTGCCTGTATTATAGCAGGCATGCGGCTGCAGTAGTGAACTTCGGGTGGCCATTCATTCAGAGACACACGTGGGCGCGTTCACCACAGGGAAGTGAGCCCTTCCCAGTCAGCGGCCCCTGGCGGAGGTGACGGCGGCTGAGCTGGGGTCGTGCGCAGTGGTTGCGGACTCTGCCTCAGTAAGTACCTGGTGAAGAGGTGAGCGAGTCAACGCCCGGGTGGAGGGGGAGAGCGAGTGTTGCTAAAGGCGATGACGTGGATCGATTCAGACACATTCTTCAGCAGTAGGTTTCCAGGCCAACTTTCATATGATTCTTTACATTCAGCCCTTATCATTTGCTTCATATTATAAGATATACTAAGCTGGTATGCCAAGGGAAACTACCTATTTCAAGCATAATTGACTACTTGAGGGAAAAAGGGACCAGTGTTCGCTTTTCTTCAGAAGTGATATCAGTTCTTGTGCCTTCAGGGCATCTGGAGAGCCGTCTTTCTGCACATGAATTCCCTCTAAAAAGCGCTTTGTAGAAGAAGCAGCGTCTCCCGGGGTGTGCGTGTCACGCGCGCACGTCCCATCTGCGCACGCGGGGCAGCCTTGGCCTCGTCTGCTCTGGCCTTGTGCTTCGTCCCGGCGGAGACGCAGCGCCGCCTGCGAGCCTGTTCGCGGCGTCTGCTGACAACGCAAGGGCGCCGCGGCGGGGCCTCAGGTTGACACAGAACACCTGGTGCGGTTCCGTTAGCATTGGCGCCGGGGGAGGCGCGGGGCGCGGCGGGGAAGGTCGTTCGCAGCCCGGTGGCCGGTCGGGCTTTCGCGTGCTCCGTGCGTGCCTCGGCCAGCGTGCCTCCCTGTGACACTCCTGACTCGGACGCCACACCTGGACGGGTGTGTGGCGAGAGCCGTCAGCGCGCTGTCCCTTTCCCGTCCGTGTGGCTGGAGCGAACGGCGAGTTGTCCGTTTCTGTGTCTCATACTTTAGGAAGTGTACCTCTGCCGATGTCCATCTGCAGGGCAAATTAGCTAAAAAGAATAAGAAAAGAATAGGATTCTGCTCATTGAAAGGCATGAGGTGCTTGTGCCTGAATCTCAAGAGTCCTTCCGTTACGTATCTGGGGCTAATACCATCTAGACTGTGGTATATGTTCAGGTGGACAGAGTTGGTTCTCACATAGTGTACAGTTTAAAACAATTTTTTTTAAACATTTACTTTTAATGAATGGAAACTATGTTATGTGTTAAAAGACAGGATATAAAAGGAAAGATGATGCATTTGTAAAAATAGTTGGGTTAAGGGTTGGCAGATGTTTACACACTAGATTTATGATGTTGGGCAAGTAACTTAACCTCTTTTTGCCAAGTTTCCTCATCTGTAAAATGAAAGGCTTGGATAAAATCAGAATACCCACTCGTATGTAGCCTTTAATCTTTTCCTGGCACTGTTCTAACTGCTTTTCGTGTAGCCCATTGAATGCTCACAGCACTCCTATGGAGTAGGATCTACGATCAGCTCTCCTTTTTTATAGCTGGAGAGAGGGAGAGAGACAAGTAGTTTGTTCAAAGTCCCACAATTCAGAAGGGACAGAATTGAAGTTTTCACTGAGGGATCCTGGCCTTGGGACCCATGTTCTTAACCCCTATCTTATGTTCCTTTGAGCACTTTAGTGACTGTATTTTTACCGTTGTTTTGGAAGGGAAAGGGTTATCTGAAAACTAGTACCTAATTTTGTATAGAATTAATGTTCTCACCCAGAATTACTAGGAGGTATATATTCATACACCAAGCCAGAATGAATCTGTGTTTAAAAGTCTTTCATGGAGCACTTTCTTGAAACTATGATGAATCATTGCAACAGAGAGGATGAAAATAGGACAATGTGGCTGAACAGTGTCATTTCCAGTGACTCTGGGAAAGAATTCCCGCTTCTTAATGATGCTGGGCTGGTTCGGTCACAGGGGATGAAATACTGTCTCGGGATGCTGATCGTGAAGATGGAAGGGAAAGCACAGCACGGCCCTGCATTTCTCGCATGCCGGTGTCTCCTGGATGGATTCTGTAGAAGAAATAAAACCACGTGTCTGGCTATGTTACCAGGAGCTGGACTCGGTCTGGTGTGGAGAGGATTCCAGCCTTGTGATAATGCTATCTGGGTGCTGTGTAAGAATGTGGCCAACGTGCAAACTCTAAAGTGAGAAAAAAATGTCAGTTGCTGGAAAAATTTTTCTGAGCAGGCCGTGCTGCACATAGTAAGAAGATTATAACATATGAACTCGAAAGGCTAGACACTTTTACATATTTTTATTTATTTGGCTACAGCAGCTCTTAATTGCAGCATGCAAGATCTTCCCTTGTGCGCTGCGGTCTTCTCTCCAGTTGGGGTGCTTGGGCTGGAGAGCACTCTCAGTAGTTGCAGCACGTGGATTTAGTTGCCTCGCAGCAGGTGGGATCTTAGGTCCCCCACCGGGGACTGAACCCATGGCCCCTGCATTGGAAGGCAGATTCTTAACCACTAGACCCCCAGAGATACCCCAAAGGGACATAACCTTGAATCCAGAATCCATCATTTCATGGTTTCATGGTCCTGGAAGAAGAAACATTGTATCCCTTAGATTGGTCATCCCTAAAAATGTGGTTAATAATAACTTATCTTACAAGTCTTTGTACTCAGCACCTGCAGTACTTTGGACACAGGAAGTTACTGTTGTGGTTGTCAGGCACCACCTGTGACGTGTGATGGTCTCCTCTTGTGTTGGACTTCATACTTTTTTCCTGCATCTTAAGGCTCGTGTGATATTCTCCAGGTTTTTAATATTCTGATTTTTAGAAACATGGTTTTCACAAACAACATATGCTCAAATAGAAGAGGGAACAAAATGAAATTAGGAAAAGGCTAATAGAAAATAAAAAATTCAGAGGAATGAGACAGGGGAGCGATCATCTTTTGATACGTCTGGCCCATTTGATCTGGTGACATGCCGTTGTATTTAGGTGATAACACTTGGCCTGCATGTGGTGCCTATGAAGCTGTCAATCACAGGTTCTCACCCCCAGAGGGGTGGCCTTGTGACCCAGACACGGCCATTGTTTTGTCCACTGACCAAATGAATCAGAGTCCCTGGAACGCTATTGATTCCTAAAGAAAAAAGCTCTCCGCTTCGGGATCAGTAGATGGGACAAGATAACCACGGGGCTGTCTGTGGCTGTGCCCCGACTCCAGCCGCTCACCGTGCCGCAGAGGGAGTTTACCTGCGGCGGGAGGGGCGCGCGGGAGACGCAGGAGGCGCCGGGTGCAGAGCGCCCTCACCGACAGCGGGCTTCCACCTTGCGTCGCCCCCTCGCCCCCGTTACTGACCGAGTGCCTCAGGCCAGGTGCCAAGACTGTTCTAGGCTTTTGGGATTCAAAACAGTTAAGAGCACTTGCCTCGTGGGATTTATATTCTAGTAGGGCGGTCAAAAAACATGATCCAGGAAGTGACTTCCGATGTTAGAGGCGGTCAGCCCTGTGGGGCAGGGAGGATAGAGAATGGTGAAGAAGGAAGCAGCCAGACTGGGAGAAGGAAGGCAGAAGCTTTCAGTTTAAACGAAGAGTCAAGGTAGGCGTCTGAGCGAATGCTTGAACGAGGGGATGGACTGAGCCACGCAGGCCTCCCCGGAAGGCTGGTCCGGGTCCGGAGACCGTGCAGCAGCCCCAGTGAGCCCGCCTGGTGTGGACCGTGCCCAAGCAGATGGTGAGGACCCACCCACCTGGCCTGGACCGTGCCCAGGGAGCCGGTGAGGACCCACCCACCCGGCCTGGACCGTGCCCAAGCAGATGGTGAGGACCCACCCACCCGGCCTGGACCGTGCCCAGGCAGCCGGTGTGGACCCACCCACCTGGCCTGGACCGTGCCCAAGCAGCTGGTGTGGCTGAGCTGATCGAGGGGAGGACTTAGAGAGCGGTCAGAGAGGAAAGGGGGTCCAGGTGGCGTGGGGCCGAGTGGCCCCTGCAGAATTTTGCCTTTAGCGTTGTGAGAGTTGAAGCCCCCTGCGAGGTTTTGAGTGGCAGAGTGAAATGATCTGCTTTTAAAGGGCGTCCTGAGGAGGGCTGTGAAGGTGAGCAACAGTGGAAGTATCAATAAAAGAACTAAGGAGGCCACTGTAGGCATTCAGGAAAGAGGCGGTCACTGGTGACGTCGCCGTGGTTGGGAAACGGTTGGGTGGCGCGTTTGAAGGCGGGGCAGGTAGGGTTTCCTGACGGGTTGGATGGGCAGGGAAGGAAGGAGAGGGAAGGATCGACGCTGGCCTCGTTTTTCCCTCTGAGCAGCCGGCAAGCGGTACTGCTGTCGGCTGAGGTGCGGGCGGCGGTGGGCGGAGGGGAGTTGGCTTTGGACGTGCGTCTGCTGGACAGCGGAGTGGCCAGGACAGGGGCCTGGGCATCCGAGTCTGGAGCTAGGAGGATGAGTCTGATGGGTATAGATGTGCATCTGGTGACGTGAAGATGGATGAGACTGCCAGAGCGGCGTGTGCGGGCAGAGGGCGGGGGAGCAGAGGCCCGGGGTCGTCCAGGTCACGGCCCGGTAGCTGCAGGTCTCCTCTGAGAAGGAGGGCGCTGTGAGGCAGGCGGCCGGCGAACAGATTGTGTCAGCGAGGTAGGAGCCGTCACCTGTGCAACGGGGGCCAGCAGGGAAGCCATCAAAGATCTTGACCGGAGGCGCTTCCTGGAAACGGTCCCAGTGCCTTACCTGGAGCAGAAGCTTGACTGCAGTGCGCCCGAAAGATCGTAAGGTGAGAAAGGGGGGCAGAGAGTGAGGAGAGACCCCTTTAGTGTAGATTTTTGCTGCAAATAAGTCATCCTTCGGCTGGAATGAGTCATTTTTAAAAATTATTTTATTTTTTGAGACGAAATCATAGAATACTTTTAGATCCATTGGGGATGATGTTGACGAAAGAGAAACATTGGTGATGCACAAGCAAGCTTGTGATGCACAAGGAAAGCCAGGCGGACTCAGTTCCTTGAGGGAGGCGGAGGAGGCGGGGATTGAGGGCCCAGGCACAGAAGGGTTTCCTGAGAAGCCACTGCGTCTCCAGGACCAGCAGGGAGGGCCGTCCTCGGGGCGGAGCTGGCAGGGGCAGAGGAGGAGGCCGCGGGCACGTCTTCTCCCGTTTCCTGAGGCAGCGAATGTGACCAGTGCCTGTTCTGCTTAGTTTCTGACGTAAGCGAGTCTCTTTAAAACAGTGTCTTCTTGGCGTCCAGTCGCCTCGCAGTGGTGTCAGTTTCTGCGGCGCAGCAGAGTGAGCCCCTCAGTGCAAACGTGCGTCCTCTCTGGCTTGGAGCGCCTTCCCGTCTAAGGTCGCCACACAGCACCGGGCGGGGCTCCCTGCGCTCCGCAGCGGGCTCTCCTTAGTTACCTCGTTCGCACGTGGCAGTGTGTATACGTCAGTCCAGCCTCGCAGTCCATCCACCGCAATCCACGTACGTGTTTGACCTTTATGTCTGTGTGTCTCTTTCTGCCTAAATGTCCATCAGCAGAGGAATGGATAAAGAAGGTGTGCTATGTATGTACAATGAACTGTCACTCAGTCATAAAAGGGACTGAACTGGGTCCTTAGTAGGGATGTGGATGGTCCTAGAGACTCATGCAGAGTCAAGTAGGTCAGAAAAACAAATATTGTATATTAACACGTGTGTGTGGAATCAAGAAAAATGGTATAGATGACTTCATTTGTGAAGCAGAAACCAAGAATCTATTTGAGAGAACAAGCAAGAGAAGTTAAATAACTTCCCCAGGGTCACAGGGCTCGCAAGATAGCACGGTGTCAATTAATCAAGTGACGCTGGCTTCAGCGGAGGCTGCTTTGGACCCCAGTTCTAACCTGACTCGAGCCTGCACAGAGCGTCTTACTCATCAGTCTTGACAGCTGTTTGGTGTGTGACTAACAGGCACCGCAAGGTAAACAGGCAATATGAGACAGCGTCGGTGAAGGAGAGCTGCGTGGCGCCCTGCTGGGTTACAGCAGGCGGGTTCCTCCAGCTCAGAGGTGTCCAGGGAGGCATCTTCAGAGTGAGGCCTAAGCTGAGGGTGGAGAACGGGAGGGGCAGAGGGAGGGGGAGAGCATTTGAGGCCCCGGGACCCAGGTACAGGGTAGGCCCCCGAGTGAGGGGGGAGCGGAGGCCAGGGACTCTAGGAGGAGCTCGACACACGCTGAGCGTGGAGCTCAGACGGGGCCAGTCATGGGGCTTCTGATGTGGTGTTTAAATACACGTAGTTCACACGTAAGATAGATCGCCAGCAGGACCTACTGCACAGCACGGGGAGCTATACTCGACGAGTCTGTAGTAACCTAAAAGGGAAAAGAATCTGGAAGATGTTTGTAACAATCACTTTGCCGTGCACATGGAACTGACACAGGCTTGTAATCAACTCTATGTCAGTCAGCCCGTCAATCAATGCAAGTAGTTGGTGTCATGAAGCGCGGATCCTGGGTAGGATGAGTGCATGTGTAAAACACCGATGGCAGTGAGAACACGGCAGCTAAAATGCATCCACATAGGCAAGCTCGTTTAGTTCTCACAGACTAGATGGTTTTTATTGCTTCAAAGGTGACTGTTTCTCATGGCAATAAATATTTTAATTTTTGTTTCATTTTTATAATGACAATTTTCAAGTTTATTTCCTTCTTTTTAAATACAAAGCTAAAACACAAACCGGTACAGTCAAGACATTTTAGATCACATTTACACACTCCCATTGGATCCTCCTCCAACTTGCTAACCAATGACTTGGCAAGTGCTCCCTCACCCCCCACCCCCGCCCCCAGTTGGGGGGTGGGGAGGCTTCCTTAGGTAGCATTGTCTTGAATGGCTGGAGGGCATTTAAATTGAGGACAGGCTCCCACACCTATCTCCATTCATCCTATCTCATACCTATCTCCACTCACCTACCTTTCTGTTTACTGCAGGTTAATAGAAAGTGGGAATCATAAAAAATTAAATCATTTTAATTTATGTGACAGATGAGGAAACAATTTAAAGGCATTTGCATGCCAAGGTGGTACACCCAGTAAGTGGGAGAGCTGCAGTGTAGACCCCAGCCTGTTTCCAAAACCCCATTTCTTTTCACTAAACCCCTCTTTTTTCCACCAGGGTTTAGGACACATCTTCTCAAGTGTGCAAAAATGACAAATGATTCATGAATATGATCCTTATAGTGCAACATAGAAAAGTATAATAATATGAAAATTAATAAATGGTAAAGGAAAAGACAATCATAGTTTAAAATATTAGACATATACTTGGGCAGTTTTTATGACAAATAGAATTTTATCCTTTTATACTGTTTCCAAGATTTTTTCAACATATAGGACCTTGAAGGTAATCATAGTTTGAAATATGTGTATGTACTTTTGAAAATCAGTGGAAAGACCTACAGTTTAGAAGATAAAGCTGAAAGATAATTTGTATTAGTTAGTAAATGCCTTACCCCAAATTAAAAACTTCCCCGTCTTAAGTTATGTATATTTTGAAAGATGGAACTGGCTTGCTTTGTACAGTACGTTCTACTTATTCAAGCTTGCTTCTGAGAAAGCATTCTAGACCCAGCTTTATCAATCATTTCCTGAGGTCCCTGGCAGGAGGCGGGACACTGTGGGTCACTGTGCCGGCACCCTGTGTGTGCTCCGCTTCTTGTGTCTTATGTGACTGCCGATGGGACAGGTTTAAACTGGGAGTGCTTTTCAAGTGCTCCTTAATTGTCTAGTCTTTATTTTGTGGGTTTAATTGGAGACTTGCTCTTAACCAACTTTTTGCATGGTGCTGTAGAGAATAAGATAATTCCCATCCTCACTGGGATTATAATTGATTAACATAGATATAAAAATAAAATTATAACAATGGGAGGCAAAATATGACAGTGAGTAGAGCTATTCATTGAGTAACCATAGTGTTCTATAGATATGTCCAGTTTCCATGTACTGCCTCGAATCCAAAGCTCTAGGCCAGTAGATAACTAGGCTATGGTTATATGGCAAAAAAAAGGCAAAAGTCAGGGTTAAACTGTCAGTCTGGGAAGTAGAGGTTTATATATGCATGTATGTATGTATGTATATATGTGCACACACAAAATATTAATAATTCTTCATTAATGCCCTTGTGTTCTATGTCTAGCTAACTAGCTGTTTCCCTGGTTGAAAACAGAGGCACAGATAAGGTCACAGCATGCATTATTATTATTTTGTTTTAGCTCTTCATTGTAGTTTGTTATTTTGAATGTTTCCTTTTTATTTATAAAACTATAGAAAATTAGGAAATATATAAAAATCAAAGAGAAGCAGATACAAATTATCTGAGAGCTTGTCAGAGATAGTCATTCATATTTTAGAATAATTTATTTCTATGCATATGTTTATATGCATATAATTATGTTTTATATGCATGTAAGTTTTGTGGTATAAAATTATGTTCAGGTTATCTGTACAACTGGCATTATATATATATTAATATATATACACAGATAGACACACATGTGCTTTTTCACTCGATGGTTTTTCATAAATATTTTTCAGTTATCAAATATACTTTGAAAACATCATTATTAAAGTTTTGACAGTATCCCACATTAAATTCATGTGTGCTAAGTCACTTCAGTTGTGTCTGACTCTTTGCATCCTCATGGACTGCAGCCTGCCAGGCTCCTCTGTCCATGGGATGTTCCAGGCAAGAATATTGGAGTGGGTTACCATGCCCTCCTCCAGGGGATCTTCCCCACCCAGGGATTCAACCCATGTCTCTTATGCCTCTTGAGTTGTCAGGCGGGTTCTTTACCACTAACACCACCTGGAAAGCCCCCTATATTAAGGTTTTCCCACAAGTTAGGTAGCTCTTTTCCTTTTGTTGTGTTTTATGTTTTCAATTTTATAGTGTTTTAAGTAATTCTGCATGAAATAGAAATCTGTACAAATTTGGCTGACAACTGATTCTCTCTCTTTTGAGTGTGTTCTGGGCAGAGACATTGTTTTATTAAATAATAATATGTAATAGAAGACTAGAGTCTTAATGCAGGTCACCACACTGTACTGTGTAGGTGTATCGCCGCATCTGGGCGATGCAGGGAGTGTGAACAGGACATGAGGGTCTGTCACCATAGCCCATAGTAGGGACCAAGGGCTCTCTTTGGCTCTGGGGAGGTTTGTTCCAATCACATGTGCTCAGGAGAAGTGCTGATTCTGCTTCCTGCAAGCCGACCACTCACGCTCAGGGCCCCTCCGCTCCCAACTCGACCCCAGTGTGACATCTCTTTCCTGAGGAGCTGTTCCTCCATTTCGGTTATTCCTTCTGCTTCTTGAGTCACCAGACATGGGTTGGACCTTAATTCTTTCCTATGTATTTGTGAATAGGCTAGCATTTAAAGCTTTTGCCTCTGTAACACAAGGATAATAATATCACTGACATCACATGGGTTTTGTTAGGATTAAGTGACACAGCGCATGTAAAGCAGTATCGTGTCTTATGCATAACAGGCTTGCAATAAATGTCAACTGTCATTACCCTGGTTCTGGGTGATGCGGATTGAAGTGTCAGCCCAATACTTACTCAGGCCTGGAGCAGCTCTGGACCTTAATCCTCAATGACGGCTGAAGATCGAGAGCAACAGCGGTGAGGAAAGTGGCATCAGACTGGCTGTGTCATGGCTGGGTGGGATGCAGAAACAATACTCCTGAAGCACCTCCTGTTTAGTTCTTTGGGGACTAGTCATTGTTTCAGCTGCTTTGCGTGTATCAGTTTTACCTTGCAAGCCAGGTGCTAATATGTTCCTATTTTGCAGACGAGAAAATGGAACAAAGAGAAAGTAATCTGGTTAATTGTCCAAGAGAAGTTGAACATGGCAATTCTCTGCTTGACAGTTACAAACGAGATCTTTCTCAATTCCTTGAACATTTCAGAGTAGATACTGAAGTAAATATTATCATCCTCACTTCACAAATGAGGAAAGTAGGACTCAGTATCAGGAAAGTGTCCCTGGTTCCACAACTAGAAGGGTAGCTGCCGCTGAACTTGTGTGGATCTTACTTTCAGCAGTAAACACTGAGTCGTCTCAAGATTTACCTGTATAACAATTAACAGTTATCTTGAGCATATATATGTATTCTGGAGTATAGTCGATTTACAAAGTTGTGTTAGTTCCAGGTTACAGCGCAGGGATTTACTCTCTAGCAGTAGTGTTAGCCGCTCCGCTGTGTCCCACTCGCTGCAGCCCTGTGGCTGAGCCAGACAGGCGCCTCTGCCCAGATTCCCTGAGCAAGAATCGGGAGAATTCTGGTAGCCATTCCTCTACATATTCGTGTATTTCCAGGTGGTAATTCCAGTGGTAGAGAATCTGCCTGCCAGGGCCGGAGATCTGGAGATGTGGGTTCGATCCCTCGGTTGGGGAGATCCCCTGGAGTAGAAAATGGCCCGACTCCAGGTTTCTTACCTGGGAGAGTGCATGGGCAGAGGAGCCCCAAGCTGCAGTCCACGGGGCTGCTAAAAGTTGACAGGAGAGAGCACACACATCTGTTCTTCTTTAGATTCTTCCCCACACACGTTATTGCAGAGTGTCGAGGGGAGCTCCCTGTGCTACACAGTAGGTCCTTGTTGGTTGTCTATTTTATATCAAGAGGGAATATCTGTCAGTCCCATCCTAATTTACCCCTCCCCTCCCCTTTTGTGGTTTGTGTTTGTTTTCTACCACTCACTCAGTAGACTGCAGTCTAAACAAGGACAAGAATTTCATAGAGTAAACAAGGGGGTTTTTCTCAATGACCTTTAAGGAACACATCACACAATTTGAAGATTTAATATTATTCCAAGTTTGCATTTTCTTTAGAAGCATGCAGAGATACAAGCATTTTGATTTTGACAGTTGTGAGAGATGCTCCTTGCTCTCCCCTCTCCTCAAAGTCATCCTTGAAGAGAAGGCAGCAAGGTCTGGTTTAGAAGTCTTCTCTAGGTCCTTCCCTAGAGAATCCTGATTGCAGCTGCCCCCCCCCCTGCCAACTAGAGGAGCTTTCCCATTGGAGCCAAGTGTTTCTTCTGCAGTATGGAGCCTGATGCAGAAAGCCCGGTCAAGGCCTAGCATCGCTGTGTGACTGGCATGTAGAAACCCCACGGGCCACAGGAGAAGGGACAGCGGGCGCCCCCATCTGTGGACCCCTCAGTAACGAGCGTGACCAAGGCAAAGTCATCGCTGGTTCACTCTCCCCAGCAGTAGGAGAGCTGCCCGCCTCTGACCGGGAGCACAGGAGAGGTGGTGGCTGGAATGGGCCTTTCCTTGCAGGTGTCAGTATTCAGTATGAGGTTTGTCAGACTCAGGTGCACTTTGAGGCGTTAAGTGCTAAACCACCTTCTCTGTCTCCCTGAAGTGCGCCCCAGCAGTTTACCAAACCCCACCATGTAGGGACTGTCTGGGAGAAGTCAGGCACTTAAGTGTGGGAGCCCCAGGCCAGTTCTTTGAAACCCCAGTTCTTAGCAGCAGAATTCTTCTGTGCTGCAGAGTGTAGGTAACTTCTTCCATCAGAGATGAGGACTGTCAGGAAAATAAATATTTAATACAGATCCAGAGTCCTTTGCCTGCAGTTCCAAACCCTGAAAGCAGAGCTTAAAAAACTTATAGGGTCCGTGTTCAGTTAGGATACACTGTGTGTAACTTCCCACGCTTCCAAAACAAGATACAAACCATGGCCCATGAAGTTTCCTCATCCTGCAAGCTGTTCGCTCTCCCTCACAATCCTCCCAGCAACCGTCTTCCGACTGCTGTCAGCACAGGTGAGTTCTGCCTGTTCTTGGACTTAACATGACAGAGCATGTTCTCTTCTGTGTGTGACTGCTGTCACTCGGCATTTTGAGACCCATCCTTACTGCATCACAAATACACTCCTTTCTTCCCAAGTGGTGTTCCATTCTGTACATACAGCAGACTTTGGAGAGCCTTGCTGGTGGGCATCTGCGCTGTTTCCAGTTGTTGGCTGTTGTGAACAATGTTGCTATGATCATCTTCGCACAAGTCTTTTTTGTGGACATCTATTTTTATTTTTCTTGGATCACTGGGTAGAACTGGAATTTCTGGGTTGTAAGGTGGTTTTTTAACTTAATAGGAAAGTGCAGAATCTTTCTCTAAAGTAGTTTACCTGCTCTGTCCTCCCACCAGCAGAGTGGGAGGATCCTGGCTACTCCTCGTCTCTCATACTTGCCCTGCTTCCTGGTCTTCTGGACTTCGGGGAGTCTAGCGGATGTGGAATGGTGTCACACTGTGTGTTTAGATATTATAGTTAAGAATTCTTTATATATTTTAAGCTCTCTGCCAGATACATGTATTGCAAATATTGCTTTCCCACAGTTGGTGGCTTACTTGTTGATTGAAAACTGAACATTTTAAAATGATGTGAATCATGCTGTGCGTGTGGGCTCAGTTGCTTCAGCTGTGTTCGACTCTCTTGCGATCCCTGGACTGTAGCCCCCCAGGCTCCTCCATCCAAGGGGCACTCCAGGCAGGAACACTAGAGTGGGTTGCCATGCCCTCTTCCAGGGGATCTTCCCAACCCAGGGATTGAACCCACATCTCTTATGTTTCCTGAATTGCCAGGCAGATTTAAATCCCCATCTGAAACGACATGGCTATTTAGTCATTACAGATGCCACTTAGCATCAGTATTCATGTTTCACGGCAAAAATGTTGGTTTGCTTAATTACAAGACATTGAACCCACTGCACGTTTTAAATCATATATGGGATATGTGCTGTTTTCCTTTTCCACAGTCAGGAATATTTTAAGTTTCAGAAGCATTTGGTCTTAAGAGTCAGGGGTTGCAGACACGCTAGTCTCCGCAGGGACCTGGATGGAGCTGGGGTTCCCGGGATGCTGAGTGGGCACTGAGGACAAGAGCGTTGGCGCTTTATATTAAGCAGCTTCGTTAGTTGTTATAGTAAAATATTTTTATGGATCGTAGGTATTTTAATTACAAACTTTTAGAAGCTGTCAACCATGCTCTTTCTATACTTTTGAAGGCACATCAAGACAACAGAATTATAGCACATTAAATTATAGAAATTATAGTGATAAAGCCTAATAAAATTGGTTTTTCATTTTGGATTATTCAGAGTTGATCACGAAGGCCTCCCAGGTGGCGCTATTGGTAAAGAACCCTCCTGCCAATACAGGAGATGTAAGAGTTGCAGGTTTGATCTCTGGGTCAGGAAGATCCCCTGGGGGAGGGCACGGCAACCCACTCCGGTATTCTTGCCTGGAGAGTCCCGGGGGCAGACGCGCCTGAAGGGCTAGAGTCCACAGAATCGCGGAGGGTCAGACACGACTGGGGCCACTTCATGCATGCACCCTTTCATCATGACTTGGTAGCTCCTCGTAAATGTTCTTTCTTTTTTTTTCTTTTTTTTCTTCTTCTTCCATCAGAGATGAGGACTGTCAGGAAAATAAATATTTAATACAGATCCAGAGTCCTTTGCCTGCAGTTCCAAACCCTGAAAGCAGAGCTAAAAAAACTTATAGGGTCCGTGTTCAGTTAGGATACACTGTGTGTAACTTCCCACACTTCCAAAACAAGATACAAACCATGGCCCCTGAAGTTTCCTCATCCTGCAAGCTGTTCGCTCTCCCTCACAATCCTCCCAGCAACCGTCTTCCGACTCCTGTCAGCACAGGTGAGTTCTGCCTGTTCTTGGACTTAACATGACAGAGCATGTTCTCTTCTGTGTGTGACTGCTGTCACTCGGCATTTTGAGACCCATCCTTACTGTATCACAAATACACTCCTTTTTTCCCAAGTGGTGTTCCATTCTGTACATACAGCAGACTTTGGAGAGCCTTGCTGGTGGGCATCTGCGCTGTTTCCAGTTGTTGGCTGTTGTGAACAATGTTGCTATGATCATCTTCGCACAAGTCTTTTTTGTGGACATCTATTTTTATTTTTCTTGGATCACTGGGTAGAACTGGAATTTCTGGGTTGTAAGGTGGTTTTTTAACTTAATAGGAAAGTGCAGAATCTTTCTCTAAAGTAGTTTACCTGCTCTGTCCTCCCACCAGCAGAGTGGGAGGATCCTGGCTACTCCTCGTCTCTCATACTTGCCCTGCTTCCTGGTCTTCTGGACTTCGGGGAGTCTAGCGGATGTGGAATGGTGTCACACTGTGTGTTTAGATATTATAGTTAAGAATTCTTTGTATATTTTAAGCTCTCTGCCAGATACATGTATTGCAAATATTGCTTTCCCACAGTTGGTGGCTTACTTGTTGATTGAAAACTGAATATTTTAAAATGATGTGAGTCATGCTGTGCGTGTGGGCTCAGTTGCTTCAGCTGTGTTCGACTCTCTTGCGATCCCTGGACTGTAGCCCCCCAGGCTCCTCCATCCAAGGGGCACTCCAGGCAGGAACACTAGAGTGGGTTGCCATGCCCTCTTCCAGGGGATCTTCCCAACCCAGGGATTGAACCCACATCTCTTATGTTTCCTGAATTGCCAGGCAGATTTAAATCCCCATCTGAAACGACATGGCTATTTAGTCATTACAGATGCCACTTAGCATCAGTATTCATATTTCATGGCAAAAATGTTGGTTTGCTTAATTACAAGACATTGAACCCACTGCACGTTTTAAATCATATATGGGATATGTGCTGTTTTCCTTTTCCACAGTCAGGAATATTTTAAGTTTCAGAAGCATTTGGTCTTAAGAGTCAGGGGTTGCAGACACGCTAGTCTCCGCAGGGACCTGGATGGAGCTGGGGTTCCCGGGATGCTGAGTGGGCACTGAGGACAAGAGCGTTGGCGCTTTATATTAAGCAGCTTCGTTAGTTGTTATAGTAAAATATTTTTATGGATCGTAGGTATTTTAATTACAAACTTTTAGAAGCTGTCAACCATGCTCTTTCTATACTTTTGAAGGCACATCAAGACAACAGAATTATAGCACATTAAATTATAGAAATTATAGTGATAAAGCCTAATAAAATTGGTTTTTCATTTTGGATTATTCAGAGTTGATCACGAAGGCCTCCCAGGTGGCGCTATTGGTAAAGAACCCTCCTGCCAATACAGGAGATGTAAGAGTTGCAGGTTTGATCTCTGGGTCAGGAAGATCCCCTGGGGGAGGGCACGGCAACCCACTCTGGTATTCTTGCCTGGAGAGTCCCGGGGGCAGACGCGCCTGAAGGGCTAGAGTCCACAGAATCGCGGAGGGTCAGACACGACTGGGGCCACTTCATGCATGCACCCTTTCATCATGACTTGGTAGTTCTTCGTAAATGTTCTTTCTTTTTTTTTCTTTTTTTTCTTGGATCAGTGGGTAGAAATGGAATTGCTGGATGCTAAGGTAGTTTTTTAACTTAATAAGAAAGTGCAGAATCTTTCTCTAAAGTAGTTTACCTGCTCTGTCCTCCCACCAGCAGAGTGGGAGGATCCTGGCTGCTCCTCGTCTCTGGGACTTGCCATCCTTGGCGTTGGTCTCTTCTGGCCTTTGGGGAGTCTAGTGGATGTGGAGTGATCACACTGTATTCTGCCTTAGAAGTCTGCTCCTCAAAAGAACAGTGGAAACCAAATTTTCAACTGTAATAACTGCAAGAATATAACTGACTTTCAGTTTTAGATGATTAGTGTTTGAAAGCTGATGAGATGGAGAGCTGTGTAAAGCCAAGAGCAACAGTTAGCAAAATGCCTGAGCTAACTAGATAAGCACTCAGGGCACCGGACTCGGCCGAGCTGAGAACTCCCTGCTCTGCTGTGCTGATGCATGCGGGTACTATTGATTAAGTTGATTATTGAAAATTGTTTCAGTAGAAAAGTTATGAACATAATTTAACCTGAAATTGTAGAGATAAATATAGAAAGAAAAAATATAGAAACTGTTTTCTCAGTCAAAAAGACCTCTATTGTGACAGCAGTTTCTTGTGGGTTATCTGTTTTAAATATAGCAGTGTGTACATGTGAATCTTGATTATTCAATCTGTCCTGCCCTCCGGGAACCATAAGTTAATTTTCTACTGAGTCTGTTTCTGTTTTGAAAGTAAGTTCATTTGTATCAGTTATTTTTTTTTTAATTCTGCATATAAGCAAGAGCATATGCTATTTCTTTGACTTAATTCACTTAGTAAGATCATCTCTGGGTTTATCCAAGTTACCACAAATGGCATTATTTCATTCTTTTATAGCTGAGTAATAATCCATTGTGTATATATACATGTATCTATTCCATATAGAATATTCTAATATACATACCCTACATCATTTTCAATGTTTAATATGGTTAAAAGTCACCTAACTTTAAACATGCTATTTTAACCATATTTAGCTGTACAGTTCAGTGGCACCGAGTATATTTGTATTATTGTGCACCCATCACCACCGTCCATCTCTAGACTCATTCACCTTCCTAAACTGAAACTGTCCCCAGCAAGCACTGACACCCCATTCCCCCAGCCCCTGGCCTTTGGCATCCACCAGTGTACCTTCTGACTGTGATTTTGACTGTTCTGGGAACTTCATATAAGTGGAATCAAACAGTATTTGTCTGCGCCTACTTGATACGGGAATACATTTTTAAGATTAATATATGTTCTACGAAGGTTGTACCTTTTTTCTTCCCCCTGTGCTATACAGTAGGTTCATACGTCAGTCCGAGTCTTTCACCTTGTCTCCCCTTCCCATCCATACATGTGTTCTCTCCATGTGTCTCTGCTTTGCAGCTCTGCAGGTAGGTTCTTCTGTACTATTTTTATTTATATTTGGTTTTTACATTATGTGACTTTTACCACAATTAAAAATAATAAAAAAGACGTAGGGTATATATTAGAATATATACATGGATACACAGTAGAATGCTTTCTGCTGTTGCTCAGTTGCTCAGTCACGTTGGGTTCTTTGTGCCCTCATGACCTGCAGCACGCGACTTCACCGTCTCCCGGAGTTTGCTCAGACACATGTCCACTGGGCTTCCCAGGTGGCTCCGAGGGTAAAGCGTCTGCCTGCAATGTGGGAGACCCGGGTTCGATCCCTGGGTCAGGAAGATTCCCTGGAGAAGGAAATAGCAACCCAGTCCAGTACCCTTGCCTGGAAAATCCCATGGATGGAGGAGCCGGGTGGGCTCCAGTCCATGGAGTTGCTCAGAGTTGGAATGACTGAGCGACTTCACTTTCTTTCTTTTCAGTCATAAAAAGAATGACATTTGTGGCAATATGGATGAACCTAAGGATTATCATATTAAGTGAAATAAGACAGGGAAAGACATATCATGTGAGATCACTTATACGCAGAATCTAAAAGGAAAGGATAGAAATGAACTTATTTACAAGTGGAAACAGACTCACAGGCTTAGAGAACGAACTTACAGTTACCAGGGAAGGGGAGAGGTAAATCAGTCATCTGGGATTAACAGACACACACTGCTATATGTGACATACAGCAAGGGCCTGCTGTGCATCACACAGAGAACTATGTTCAATGTCTTATAATAACTTACAATGGGAAAGAATCTGTAAGAGAAATGTGTGCATACATCTTGTAAGTCAGGTATACTTCGATAAAAAGTGAGATAATTCTCATGTGCCTGTGGGAAAATTGCAGTCACTTTTCTGAAGAACTAAAGCCATTCTAATTCAGAGAGAAGGCAGGTCGCTCCCCTGCTCTGCTAGCCCGGGGCAGCGCTCGGATACGATAACCTCTATCCTCTGGCCAGCGCACCATGAGCTCCTTCGCCCTCGGCCGCGGTGGTGAGGCCGTACACAGTGCCTCACCTGAGAGGTCAGGTTTGGGCCACACGTCGGGCCGCAGCACCCCCGGCTCTCTGTGACAGGGTTTCCGGGTCTGAAGTCTGTGGCCTCCCAGTCAGAGGCCGCCCGTCGGGCTGTCTCACCATGAAGGCCGTGTGGATTTTTCTCGGGCCCCGGTGACCTCACCGGGCAGGGATCTGCCCGCGGTCTCAGGTGAGTCAAGCTGGAAGGCATAGACTTGCGTAAAGCCTTGTTTTCTCCTGAAACGCGCTTCTGTGAAGGGTTAAAACCAAAGGCAGGAGTGCCTGCACTTCATCTGAAATGTTGGACTTGCCCTGGAGAAGCGAGAAGGGACCATTTCCTCTCAGCGCCGGTTGAAACCCCCTCCGCCCGCGCACTCCTGTTCCGGCATACAGCCCGGCACATTCTCAGGAGCCGGGGAACAGCTGTACTGATCAGAGTCTAAAAGCGGACGGAACAGCGGTACTATGTCATCAAATCTTCCAGCCCTAGGAGCAAGTGATAAGACGCGTTCTTTTTTTCCCCATTTGCAGGTGCATTCATTTACAACTAAATAGCAGGAATGCCTCTCACACAAGCAGTTAATACGGACTAGAATTTTCCCAGTAACCAGATGGCGTACATTTCATACCACGCTTGTTGAATTAAGAACTAAAATCTGCCAATAAGTTGCATGGAAGTTTTCCACAGTCTCCTTAGGTGACCTCATTTAAGATTTTGAATTTTTTTCAGGTCAGAAAGCTTATAAATATTCAGTCTTTGGTGACTCATTTTCAGGGCTATGGTGGAGTAATTATAGAATAACTCTAGTTAGCCATCATTGAAAATATTCTTTCGCTTATGTTGGGTTATGCTTTTTTTTTCTTATTACCTTCTGCTTGTCTATTGACTGCTTCAATACAGTCTTTATTCAAAGAGCTGCCTAAAAAAAGATGAGTCTAGAAAGTCATGGAGAGTGTTATTCCCTTTGATTAGGGACATCATCACCATAAGTCTGAAATTTTGCAGAGCAGATAAAAGTATTGAGATATTTATACTTAAATTTTTTTTCAGTGTAGTAACACATCATTTTGACTTTACACAGCATATCTGTTACTTCATCGCCTACTATTGACACTCTGATTTTCCTTAGGACCACATCCCTGCCCTCTACTCACCCTGAAATGGAGGCAGGGCATGTGATCTGGACCTTCCTAAGGAGGATACATCACAGGCTGCATCCAGATGGTCTTGTGTCCCGAGTCAGCCAATCAGAGGCAGCGGAACACAACTGGGGCAGCTTTGTTGACGTCACGAGGAAGGAATGTCTCTAAGTTTATAGCTGGTGGACATCTTGAGACCATGTAAGGGAGCTCGTCTGAGAATGAAGCCCAGAAGGCTTCAGAGATGAAGGAAGAGGCAGAGACGGCCCTTCAAAACTCGTGTTTGCTCAGCGAGAGAGAGGACAAGGGGCCCATGTTCGCAGCAGGAGCTTTGTTCTACCCTCAGGAGATATTCTATATATATATATGACACACAGAATTCTCTATTTGCTAAAGTCAGTGTAAACCGGGTTTTCTGCTACTTGGAACTAGGTCTTGAATAATATATATAGCAAATCATATTTATGCTCTGACTCTGGAAAAACAACAGTATGTTCCCAGGCATAGATTATTCAGTGGGAATTATCTGCTCAAATTTAAAACAGAATGAGAATTTGACTCATATTTCTAAGAATTCTGTCTAAGTAAGCCAGCATGCAGAATGCTTGCTTTTCCAGTCTTACCTGAAGAGATGGCCTGGAGGAGAATTCTGGTACCTGTGAGGTGGTCTCCTTTTGAACATTTATACACATGTGTCGAGTATCATGAGTTGCAGGGTTGTGGTTGTTTCCATATGAAGGAAACCATATACCTGTAAAATGCCTTTCTTCCTAAGGCTTCTTCCTAAGCCCTAAAGGGCTTCTCTGGTAGCTCAGCTGATAAAGAATCCTCCTGCAGTGCAGGAGACCCTGGTTTGATTCCTGGGTCAGGAAGATCCCCTGGAGAAGGGATAGGCTATCCACTCCAGTATTCTGGCCTGGAGAATCCCGTGGACAGAGAAGCCTGGTGGGCTACAGTCCATGGGTTGCAAAAGGTCAGATATGACTGAGCAACTTTCACTTTCATTTGCTCACCAGCAGCATCGCGGTCAGGATTAGCACTGTGATGAATAGACAATACCAGCCCACAGTCAGAACTAAATAAGGACAATTTTTATGCAATTCAGATGCCCCGAGTCACTTCAGTCTCCAGAGTGTAGTATTTTTCTTTACACGGTGCAGGGGCTGGCATTATACAGTCCTGGAGGGCCCCGCTTGCATTGCACTCTGAATATTCGCTCTTTCTGAGTATTTCTAGAGGCCTGTCTGAACTCGGCCTCTAGAGCTGCACTATCATGGCCAACCATTTTAGAAGTCTGAAATGGCAGGAAACCCAGGCCTCTCTTACTTCTGAGAATTGTTGCTGCATCCGTGTTTAGAGTATTACACAGCTTTATGAGTGCTTGCGCTTTTATGGCCTGAACAGTTTCAGCCAGAGTCCTGCAGGGCCTTCCGCACCGTCTCAGCTGGTCACTCCGGCTGATGTGGCCTGGCTACACCTGTACTACCCCCCAGGGAGAGACGGGACCCGCTGGGGGGTTTAACCCGCTCCTCCAGGAGGGAGAGGGGATGACTGGGTGCAGAAGTGCCGTGGAAGTGGCTACGAAAAGGCCAGTCCTGGGGATACTGCTCTGAGCCAGGCACTCAGGCTTTTAGGCAGCTCAGCGTCTATACTAGGAAAGCCTCAGCTTGGCACCTGAGTCCTGGATCTCTTAGGACTCAGAAAAGTCAGTCCCTCCCTACTCTAGGCCATGGCCCCTCTCCTGAGGAAGAACGGTTAACGGAGAAGGGTGAAACACTGGCGGAGCTGCAGCTGGGTTTGAACTCCAGACCCACTGTGTGAGTGTGCTAAGTCACCACCGTCGTGTCCGACTCTCTGTGACCCCCATGGACTGCAGCCCACCAGGCTCCCCTGTCCATGGGATTCTCCAGGCAAGGATACTGGAGTGGGTTCCTTCTCGAGGGGATCTTCCCCACCCAGGGACCAAACTCTTAGCTCTGAAGTCTCCTGCATTGGCAGGCAGGTTCTTTACCACTAGCACCACCTATACCATCATTTATATGGCTACAGGTACAGAGAGGGAGTTATGTGCTTTTGGCAAGATCAGAGTTGAGACTCGGAAACCAAGCCCTCTGTTCAGACCCTTTCTCCTTGTCCTTAAAAGGCAATCACAAAATCCATGGGTCCATCCCAGAGTTCAGTATAGTTGTTCAGAACCAGTGTATTTGGGCCACGGGCAAACTCCCCAGGTGAAGTCTCTGTGCTGGTCCAGCCTCTTGCTAGCAGAATAAAGAGCAGTTCCATTCTCCATTCTTTCCAGCTGGACTATAAGCCCAGTTTCCTACAGCCTCCAGCTCAGAACACACACACACACACACACACACACAAGCCCAATTCCCTACAGCCTCCTGCTCAGAAAACACCCTCCCCACCCCCTGCCCCCACCTCTTCCCAAACTTAACTTTTCAGACACAAAAATACAAGTTCATATTTAAAAAGAAAAGCGTCTCCAACATACGTTACCAAGCGGAGGACTTGAATTGCTAAGTCTGAAGGAAACCTTCCATTCTACTATGTACTTAACTCACAGTCATCTGAGTGAAACAATACTCTAGAGGGACCTCTCCCAGAAAAGAAAAAAAGACACAACTTGTATCCTAAAATGTGGAAACCTGCAACCTCTAAAAAGGCAGTGCTTAAGATATTTTCAGATCCAGTGTTCACTGACCACTGACCTGTTTCTCCCACTTACTTGAAAGTACAGTCTGCACTTTGAGCATCAAGCATCACCACTGTGTTGCTGACACTAAAGGGAAAAATCCCGTCCAGCCCTTCAGCAGATACTCCGCTTCTCCCAGGATGCCTCCGTCTGGATGCTCAGCCACCACCTGAGAACCACAGGTGTGGGGAAGATGGTGTCAGACACAGACAGCGCAGCTCGAGGGTCAGCAAGTCTGTTTCGAATCCCAGCCGGACCCTGTGTAGCTCTGTGACCTTGGGCAACTTACTGAGCTAGCCAAAAGGTTCATTCCGGGCTTTTTGTAACATCTATGGAAAACCCCGGACGAAGGTCTTGGCCAACCCCATAGATAGCCTCCAACACTGTTTCCTCAAGGGCAGGATGGGACCAGTCAGAGAGCCCATCTCAGCGGACCGCGGAGGAGGTAATGTCACCGCAGAGTGACGGGGACGTGTGTCTGATGAAAGTGTTTCTATCTTCTTACGTTATTATTATGCACAAGTTAGATTTCTCTCTCCATTCACATGTAAACTTCTCTTCAGCACAGTGGCACTTTTCCCCCCAGGATCAAAACTTTGAAACTTTAACTTATTTTCTGTTATTCTTATGTCAGATTGTTTATTGAATGATATGGCATACTAATAAATACATCGAACAATTAGGAGGAAATGAATGGAATCACTGAGTGCTATTTCTTTTGGAAGTTCCTCTTACCCCCTTTGTGCCTGCTCAGGACCCTGGTGTGAACTTCACCTTCTAGAGCGTTATCACCTCCCCAAAGGCCCCGAACTGAACACTCGCCCTCTGCACTTGGTCCCTACAATTCATTGTCTAATCCGGTTTTCTCAGATACTTTTCAATCTGTCACTATACAGTGGCTTTTAATTTCCATAGGTGGTTTTCGTCTAAACTGCTCACTCTGGCATCAAAAGGTCACCATCTGCAGGAACCTGGCCCCCCGCCCCCGCCCAAGCTGATCTCTGTCTGCTCCCTGCCCTGGTCCTCCGTTCCTGAGCCTGGGTCCTCCCCCACCACCCAGCAGGCGCACTGGACCCGTCCCTCAAGCTTTGTGACACTAAATCCGCTTGTGTCTTTCATCCTGCCTTCCAAATAAGACAGTGTCTCCGTCAGTGTGGTTACAGAGCCAGCCTCGGTTGCTGTGCCGTGCTGGGCAACGATGCACAAGGCTCGGCCCGGCCCCTGGGGGCTCCCAGACCCCCAGCAAGCATCCTGTGAACTTGGCCCTGGCTGCCTCTGGCTCATCTGCCACTCTGCCTGACACCTAGTCTTCAGCTTTGTCTGTGACTGTGGTTCTCCAGCTGGGCCTGCTCCCTCACCTTCATGGGGAGACTCCCCGACGCCCCAACCCCCGCCTGGCTTGGGGGTTCCCGCTCCGTGTCCCCTCGGCATCCTTCACGGCTTCTTTCCCAGCATCACCAGGCTGCCCACATGGCTGGCAGGACCTGGGCCACTTCTGGACCGTAGAGCAGTGGCATGCCACTCTGTTCTGACTACTGGGGTTGATGCAATGGTGGTTTGATTCTCTTCTTCAGATAGAAAGCAGTCCATGTGTTTGAGAGCTGATCTGAGGCTCCCCTCTTTGGGGGCTTCACCTTCCCTCGCTGGCCCTCACTTTGCCGCCCCCACCCCTGCTGGCCTTCACTGCTCTCCACTGCTCCTCCTTCCTAGTCATTTATGCATCTGCCCTATTTAGGGCTTTGCAGCCTGGATCAGGTTTTCTGGACACAGTCATTAGACGACAGTTGCACTGGCTCAGGGGCCAAATGCGGTTTCAGATTCTGCCTCTGCCATGGTGACGTGTGGAAGCCGTGAACCCTTCTCAAACTCGGAGTTTTATATATAAACTGGGTAGTGAAAGACGGCATTACAGAATTGTTTTGAGTATTAAAAATACTCCGTGGAAAACACTGCAGGAGCCAGGACTTGTCAGGGGGTCCAAACCCACTTATCTGTCATCTGTCTGTCCATCCATCCAATAATACCTTGTGACTCAGCTCCCAGTTTTGATCACAGTCACTATTATAAAGATCACAGAGCTTTTTTCTTTTTAATTTCATCAACAAGCCTTATATTTAGCAAGAATTTATTACTATATAGTCCAAAAAGTTCTTTTGACATCTTTTTTGTTGTTGTTGTTTTTTATTTTTTTATTAGTTGGAGGCTAATTACTTTACATCATTGCAGTGGTTTTTGTCATACATTGACAAGAATCAGCCATGGATTTACATGTGTTCCCCATCCGGAACCCCCCTCCCACCTCCCTCTCCGCCCGATCCCTCTGGCTCTTCCCAGTGCACCAGGTCCGAGCACTTGTCTCATGCATCCAACCTGGGCTGGTGATCTCTTTCACCCTAGATAATATACATGTTTCGATGCTGTTCACAGAGCTTTTTTTTTTAAAAACAAAAAACAGCTTACACTTGGAGACAGACGGCACCAACAGAACTGGCCACGGCAAGACTCACGCTCAGAGACGTTCCAATCACTGAGCACATGAATAAATTATCAGGGCGTTCAGCGTCCTCCTGAGCTCCCAGCGCTGACCTCGCCTCCTGCTTCCAGGAGACACGGCTGAGAGACAGGCGCCCGCTCAGCCTTCCTCTGCAATTCCCAAGCCGGCCGAGAGGTGGCGCCTCCGACTTCCCCCTCCTCGGCCGCCCCGGAAACGTCAGCCTGCAGACTCTGACTTTAACCATCACCCTCCTCAGTCCGTCGTCAGCAGGCACCGCCGCTTCCTTTGTGCTGAGTCCTCATCCTGGCTGGTAGAGACCAATAGCGGCTGGGTAGGTGGTGCAGTCATCACATCGTGTCCGACTCTGCGACCCCACGGACTGTAGCCCGCCAGGCTCCTCTGTCCATGGGATTCTCCAGGCAAGAATACTGGAGTGGGTTGCCATTTCCTTCTCCAGGGCATCTTCCTGACCCAGGGATTGAACCCCCGTCTCTTATGTCTCCTGCATCAGCAGGTGGGTTCTTGACCACTGGTACCACCTGGGAAGCCCAACCTCAGTCAACACTCCCAGAAGCCCCCTGTTTCTTTCAGAGTGAGCAACCACAGTGTCCTAGGAAGCCGTCCAAAGATGCCCCCGCCTCAGAGCACATGTGCC